CGACTGCAGCAGCATGGCATCTAAGATCCGACGAGCGACACCAATCATTCTTTCCCATGAGCCTCCCATATGGGATGAGTGTGGTGCATTAAAGGTCCATGAGCACCCTTCATTACTAAGGTAATTTTGGACCTCTGAGTCATCTGTAAAGATGCTTAACTCTCTACAGGCACAGACGACGTTGGTTCCACGGTCAGACCTGAGAACCTTGGAAGGTCCTCGTATGGCAAAACACCTTCTTAAGGCGTTAATAAAGCTTGAGGTGGACATGGATTCAATCACCTCTATATGCACTGTTCGTGTTCATAGGCACGTAAACAACACTGCCCATCGCTTGTTTTCTGCTGTGCCTCCTCTCGTTCGTCGTGACACTACACTCCATGGTCCAAAGACATCTAGACCAACTCTGGTGAACGGTTCTATGGAAAGCCTATCCTCAGGCAAGTCAGACATCTTTTGCTCTTGAGGCTTTCTTCTGAGTTTGCGGCATATGACACATCCATAGATCAAGCTAGAAACCAGCTTTCTTGCTCCAATTATCCACAAACCGGCTGAGCGAAGTGCCCCCTCAGTTAAGTGGCGACCTTAGTGGGCAACTTCCTGGTGATGATGTCTCACTAACAAAGTTGTCACATCGTGTCTCTTGGGGAGTATGACTGGGTGTTTTTCATCATATGGAAGGTCAGCTGAAGAGAGCCGTTCACCTACTCTAAGCACTCCATCCTGATTGATAAAGGGGTTCAACCTCCACAGAGGACTTGCTTTGGAAATTTGTTTCCCTCTCTCCAATTGTTTCACTTCTTCCGTGAATGCTAACTGTTGAACACTCCAGATCACTCTAAATTTTGCCTGTGTTTGTGGATTTTGTGGGACTTGTTTTGAAAGCCTGGACCTGTATCTTACCACGCTGATGAGCTTCGCCATTCCATTTATCAGAGTTTTCCATGAGGAGAACCATTCAAATCTCTGTGGACTGAGAGGTCTATCAGTAGCCTTAGTTGTCAGGGTGCTGACTTCTGGGCGAATCTCTGCATCGTGCTGTGGTTCAACAAGGTCAAACTTACTTAATGTCACTGATGGGGATACCTGTTGTTGGGCCTGCTTTAGGAACTGAGGACCAGTGAACCAGCTTGTTTTGTACAGGAGACTTGCTGCAATCGGCCTTGTTGCGATGTCAGCTGAGTTTTTCTCTGTTGCAACATAATTCCACTG